TGTGATATTACCTGTTTACTGTGATCATATTACGTGTGGGGTGTGTGTGTGTGTGTGTGGGGTGTGAAATAAACTCTCTAGATATAGAATGGCTGACATAAGTAGCAGAGAGATTTTGCATAAACAGGGGACCGTCACAGGTGGAGTTCCACAGGGGACAGTGCTGGGCTCCTTGTGGTTCACAATTTACATAAATGGCCTAGATAAGGAAAGAAATAACGCCATAAAAAATTTATATATAATATATATATATATATATATATATATATATATATATAAAATATATATATATATATATATATATATAAGAACAAAGAAAGAACACTGCAGGAGGCCTACTGGCCCGTGTGAGGCAGGTCTAAGTCTCCCACCGGCTTAAGGCAATGACCCAACCTAGTCAGGACAGGTCACATCCACTTACTGAAGGAGCACATCATCAGAGTTATTAGCTCAAGCTAGTCAGGTCCAACTCACCTACCCACACCCACTCAAGTATTTAACTCATTTTTAAAACTACACAACATTTTAGCTTCTATGCCGATACTCGGGAGGAAAAGGTAAATTCAAACTAGGCTCTTATTTTTGAAGCCTTCGTTCACAGTCGATGCTGTGAAATCATTCAGGGCAAAGAATTAAGCATTCAGCGTGATGGCTTGATCGCAGAATTATGGATACAGCAATAATTGCTGCTATTATTTTCCGGGAACGCAAACCCCTTAGGGGGCTAGACATCACCTGGGAAATGGGTGGTCATCAGGTTTGACTCAAAATAGGAGAGCAGAGTAGCTTCAGTTCCTGGCATCAAGGGACACTTCGGCAACGTCAGGGGCACAGCCTTTAAAGGGGGAAACATTTAATTTACTTTGTAGATAAAAAAGGTTCAGAGAACCGACATTTTATAAATTAAAAATTTTGGGCAACCTTGGGGTACTTTTTTGAGGAAACGTTTCGCCACACAGGGGCTTCATCAGTCCTACAAAGGAAAAAATCTGAAGAACAGGAGGAGAATGGGTAATCGTCCCTAAACCTTTGAGTCGATGTGGTCATCCATAAATCTTAATAAATAGGGCTACTGCGGAGAAGGGTTTAAAAACCGTTGGTGGGAGGGGTCAGCAGTCATAGGGGGTGTCACTTTTGTAATGGGGGGTTCAGAGAACCGACATTTGATAAATTAGAACAGTGCAACTCTGGGTATCTTTTTTGAGGAAACTTTTTCGCCACACATGGCTTCATCAGTCCATACATAGGAAAAATTTGAAGAACAAGGGGAAAATAAAGGTAAAAATCCCAACCACATCGCCCAAAGGGGTTTTAGGGACTGATTACCTCATTCAATCAAGTTTTGATGACTGAACACATCGACTAAAGGTTTTAGGGACTGATTACCCATTCTCCCCCTTTCTTCAAGATTCCCCTTTGTATGGACGATGAATTTGTAGATGAATGAACATTAAAATGTATAAAAAACCGACAGTTTGTTAGTAAGAACTATCCAGTTAGGTATCTTTTTTTCGAAACGTTCGCCTACACGTAGGCTTTTTTCAGTTTTCACTTTTCGTCTCGACAAAAAACCCTACTGTGTAGGCAAAACGTTTCAAAAAAAGATACCTAACTTTTGCATATGTGTCTTACCTTTAATGAATGGTTCAAGAACCGACATTTTTTAAAATTAACACATGGAAACCCTTTTTGGGATCTTTGAACATTAAAAGGGAAAAAAAAACCGACAGGTTGTTAGGTAAGACACAATGCAACAGTTAGGTACTTTAGTGAAACTTTTTCGCCACACGTAGGCTTCTTCGTAAAGTACAGAAAAGTTATAGAACAGAAGAACTGAAGACGATGAAAATCAGCCCACACCCTTAAAGTTTTGAGGTGGTCATCCCTCGTCTGAGGAGAGCATGGTTCCTATATAAAAACAAATGGAAAAGAAGTGAAGGATGGGCAGTTTCTCCTACGTAGGGCGAGAAGCCGCGTGTGGCAAACTTTCCCAATAAAGATCCCAAGAGTTGCACATGTGTCTAATTATCAAAATGGACTGATGAAGCCACGTGTCGAACGTTCCTCAAAAAAGAACCCAAAGATTGCACATGTGTCAAATTTTATCATTTAATTACTTATTACGATTGGGATTGCTGCTGTTCCGTGAAGTATAAACAGTCTGCGTCTAGGGGGACCAAACTGTTCCTCGTAAAAAAAAAAAAACCACATACCGAGCGGGTCACACCAACTGCCAGCCCACAATGAGGAACAGGGTGTAGCCACTGGCCCCAACTAAGCAGGTTACTCACCCATTCCCACCATGAAGTTGCTCAAGCTATTTCTAAATGCTCCTTTTAACTTGAAAAAAAAAATTCATATAATGCAATCTTTTTTGACTACATTTCGCCCACACAGTAGCTTTTTCTCACAAACAGACTGTTTGTGATTTGATAATCCCACTGTGTGGGGGAAACGTTTCAAAAAAGGATTTTCATTATACTGCATTCGTTTTTCCACGTGTCGGTATTTTATGCTAATTATCTCCCTCCTTAAAATTGAGACACTTTTGCAACCATGGGGAAACTTATTGAAGAAAACGTTTCGCCACACATGGCTTCATCAGTCCAATACAAAATAGAAATGGGTAAGGGAATAAAGTATGAGGTAATCAGCCCTCAACCGGGTTCGATGTTTCAGTCCATCACTCTTGTATAAGTGCCCTTTCTACAAGAGTGATGGACTGAACACATCGAATCCCGGTTGAGGGCGATTACCTCATACTTCTACTCTCCTAACCCATTTCTACTTTGTATTGGACGATGAAGCTACTGTGTGGCGAAACGTTTTTTCAAAAAAGATTTCCCCCTGTTTTGCTTAAGTGTCTCAATTCTTTAACTTGCGGTTTTTAAAAAACCCTTATCCCACTCCATCCTTGTTATTGCCAGTATAATGTTTCTCATATCATTTAAAAACTGAGTTTTCCTATAATCAGTTACTGGAGTTCCCTCTTAAGTTTTTTTGCACCCTTTTGGTTTATGCTTTTTATTAAAATTTTAATGAGCAATGTGTAACACTTACAGCGGTATTTTTTTTTTTTTTCTGTAAGACGTTTCTCCATCCCGAACAAAAACATGTAGCATTCGCCGGGCCGGGGTCTTTTCCAATGGGGACCCCCACGAACTCCCTCCAGTGGATTTTCATTACCAACATCGATAAATACTGGAGACGGCACAGGACGTAATTTGAAGTCTTAATCTTTCATTTTTTAACAGGTGCCCCTCAAGAAAAAATGCTGATCCTCTGATTTATCAAACGTGGGTCTGAACTCCTTGATTTATCGAGGCTGAGGGTCGACCTCCTTGATTTATCGGGCTGGGGGCTGACCTTGATTTATCAAGGCTGGGGCTAAACCCTTGATTTAAAAGGCTAGGGCCCTGAATTTCTTGATTATAAGGCTGAGGGCCTAACTTCTTGATTGATCAAGGCTGGGGGTTCTGAACTGGACTGAAAAAGACACTGAGGGCAAAAACGTCCTGTAGTAAAGACCCCAAAGTGTTGCCCCTCATGTTAGTTTGTATATCATTAATTGATTTTTTTTAATATGTTCCCCCAAACTTTAAATAGGAACCTGAGATGTTGGGAACGGGAGGAAATTGTTTAAAATAAAGGGAAAAAGGGAAGGTAGCTTCAATTTCTGGATCAAAAGCTTTTCCCCGTAAATAAAGGATTCCCCAATGAAGTTATATTATTCAAATATATAGGAGCCAGAGGAGAAAATGTGGGTCAAACTTACACAGAAATTTTTTTTTTATGAAAAAGACATGTAGGGTGGAAATCGCCATATTTTTTTCCATTTGTCTTTATTAATCACTAAATTTTGCAAAACTGTACTTCCTTTATTACCCAAATTTTTACTTTTTTTTTTTCTCATTTTATTAATTATTAATTTTGGGGGTTAAATGTAGTTTAAGAAAAAACCCCTTCCATCTTCTTGGTTAAAAAAAACACTACAAACAGCTCACAAAAATTTTCTTGTTGTTTTGATTACCAGATTCAAACTGCGCGAATCTTTACTTGATGAAGTGGGGATCAGGCACATATTTAAGCAAATTCGTTTATAGAAATTATCTACGGCGGGGGGTAGGAGGATAAAAAGGGCCCCCCCGGGTTTGGTCCGGGAGAGCGCAGCTACTCCTTAACCCCGCCTCCGGTGTTGGGGCCAATGGTGTTCCGCACCAGCATCACCCAGGCTTCATAGCTCTGAGGCTGAGGGGTCGGCATCATTTCCCTCATCGTGTCTTTTTGTGTCTTGTGATGCAGATCTAATCGTCCAGAAGAAATAAAAGGCATGGACATTTCCCCTTCCATTGTGAAACTTACCGAAGAAGCAGAGTCCTAACACCTTCTGGGCATAGAATCTTATTGGAAATTTTTTCCCAGGGCGCTGCCTTCCAGAGATGATGGGTGGATTAAGGAGCGTTTTCTTTTCCCGGTGGAAAAGCAAAGTTTCCCCTCAGCCGCCCTTGCAGCCCTTTCCAGGAAGCCTTCCCGACCCCAGCACACCAGGGCAACATTCTGTCCAAAGACAAAGAAGCAGGTGAATTTCTCGATATGTATTTGCTGTATAACGTCAATTTTTTCCCTTTTTATTTCATTTTTTATGATATCCTTAAAATAGGTGAAAAGCGAGAAAGTTTGAGCCCTGGCACTAGGCCATGTAATATTACTCCCCCCTTCTTTTAATTTTTTTTTTTTTAAGGACACAAAATAAAAGGCTATATGTATATACATAAGTATACAATGACTAGTATTGGCTAGTCATGGCCTTTCTCGAAATCCCATGACTTGTCGAAACTTCAAATAAAACATTCTCCCATTCTAATGTTGTCTCACGTACTTCTCAGCAAGCTATCTAGTTTTTATTACTTGTTTATGATGTTCTCTAATTAGCAAGTATAAATAACACAAAATTCACCGCCAATTAAATTTCTGTTGCTAACTAGATGCTTTTCTCGCAGGCAAGGAGAAGACTGTGGAGGCCCCTGCAGTCACCCCCTCACCACCTCCCAAGGGTACGTCATCAGGCCAGCCCTCGGCGGACCTGCGGCGGTACAGGACCGCATTCACCAGGGAGCAGATTGCTCGTCTCGAACGGGAGTTCATGAGAGAGAACTATGTCAGCCGTCCACGACGCTGTGAACTGGCCAAGGAACTAAACCTAACTGAAGGTACCATCAAGGTAAAGAGACACTGAGATTAATTCGATTTTATTGTAAATAGTTAAGGTGTCATATTATCTTTCAATATTAACAGTCTACTCTTATTTATGAACTTCTAAGGGTGCCTTGATACTGGTGAAAGGCTCTTGATCTAATGGATCGAGTCTACTCTTCCTTTCGTCAGAATAAATATCATTTCTTGCCACTCCTAAACTGGGTATGACCTATAAGGGTTTACCGGTTTCCCTTGTATATGATAAAATATTTGAGAAATAATGACTATATAATCCTAGTGTAATGACTGAACACATTTAGACAATTTCGGCGTCTGAGTTTGTATATAATATTCCGTAAAAGTAAGATTTTCGTGTGCTGAACGTGTTGCTCTCCTACAGGTGTGGTTCCAGAACAGACGCATGAAGGATAAGCGACAGAGGATGGCTGTGGCTTGGCCCTATGCTGACCCTACCCTAGCCTACCTGCTTCACGCCGCAGCTGCTTCAGGAGCTTACCCTCCCTACCTGGCGCCCTCGTCCGTACCCGGAGCTCCCTGGGGTAGCCCGCCCATCATGGGAGCCACCCCGCCTCTCACTTACGCCGCCCCACACTTGACCTACGCACCGCAGCCGCCCCCTGTCAGCCGCTTTTCTCCATATCCACGCCCACAGCCACCTACGCTGCCCCAGCCGTATTCACTTCCTGCTGACATTCACTCTACTCACCCATTGTCTCCAACTCCCGTTCTTCCACGCTCACCCATGTGTGGACACCTGCCTGCTTGCCCTGCATACACCTCTCCCAAGGACGTCTGTCTGTGTGGTTTCATGTACTCGAATTTTACGCAAGGCCTTCCACACCCCATGCAGTTCTCCTGTTCCAAGGATTCCAAGACAGCTCACAAATCAAGTAAATCAGTCTCATTACCAAGCTTTTCCCCAGTGTCAAGCTGCAGCAGCAGCAGCCCAGAGAGACGAGAGTCCCCAAAACCCAGCGAACCTGTAAACCCGAACCCGGCTGCACCGCTGGCCACCAGCACTCCCAGACTTTTTAAGCCATACGACGACGAACCTTTAGCCAGAGTGTAGCAAGATGCTATTATACAATCTTTTTGTGTCGCTTCTCCAGCCTCGCTAGTGTTCTTATGGCCACGCAAGTATCGTGCTCATAACATCTCGAGTGACTTATTTACCGTATACTTTCCTTAGTGACGTGTCTATACTCTCCTCTAGTGTCGAGTCTACAACACTGATATGCTGTCCCTTTGGCGTCGTTACTGCCGTGTCTATAGCAAACTTTGTTACCTGTGATGTTCTGTGAAGATTATATCCAAATTTTATATTTTGTTTAAATAAATTTGTGTTAACTTCTCGATTTTTTCACTCCTCATTAGATGTTTAGATTTTACACAGCCTATAGAATTCGGTACTACGTACTGAGAGCAGCTCCATATGACTCATATGGGTTTAGTGCAACAATAAGACGAATCTGAACAGACTAAATACTTTAAATTTTCGAATCGTATCGTTTACTGTGTGTAACTAAAAGTACAGTGGGTCATGTGTTGTGTTCATAAGAATATTTTACAGGAAGATGCCACAAATGTCACAACAAAGTGCACACCAGCTGGCAGCCTCTGAGAATAATTAACTCGGCTAATCTTCCCCCGCTAGAGGAGCTACCTGGAGGTTATTCCGGGGATCAACGCCCCCGCGGCCCGGTCCACGACCACGCCTCCCGGTGGATCGGGGCTTGATCAACCAGGCTGTTACTGCTGGCCGCACGCAATCCAACGTACGAACCACAGCCCGGCTGATCCGGCAGCCAGGGGTTTATTGGTAATTCTCCTTATGAAAGTTAAGACACATGTGCAACATCTGGATATCTTTATTGTAGACGTTTCGCCAACCAGTGGCTTTATCAATACAGATTCTAGGACATAATAGGAAGACAGTAGAACTATATACAAAAGATGAGGTAATCAGTCCCTCGGCCTTGGAGTTACTGTTCACAGCATCGTGATGGAGGAGATTCTCCTCCACCACGATGCTGTGAACACTAACTCCAAGGCCGAGGGACTGATGATACCTCATCTTTTGTATATAGTTCTACTGTCTTCCTATTATGTCCTAGAATCTGTATTGATAAAGCCACTGGTTGGCGAAACGTCTACAATAAAGATATCCAGATGTTGCACATGTGTCTTAACTTTCATATTGTCGGTATTTTATACCTTTCTTGCACAATTCTCCTTGTGCTTGGTGGGAGGCTGTTGAACAGTCTTGGGCCCCGCACACTTACGGTGTTTTCTCTTAGTGTACCAGTGGCGCCCCTACTTTTAATTGGGGGTAATTTGCATCGCCTGCCCAGTCTTTTACTTTCGTAGGGAGTGATTTCTGTGTGCAGATTCGGGACCATTCCTTCTAGGATTTTCCAAGTGTAGATTATGATATATCTCTCTCTCCTACGTTCCAACGAGTACAAGTCAAGTGCTTCCAAGCGTTCCCAGTAGTTCAGGTGCTTGACAGAACTTATACGTGCAGTAAAAGTTCCCTGTACATTCTCTAGATCTGCAATTTCACCTGCTTTGAACGGAGATGTTAATGTACAGCAGTATTCCAGCCTAGAGAGAACAAGTAATTTGAAAAGGATCATCACTGGCTTGGCATCTCTCGTTTTGAACGTTCTCATTATCCATCCTATCATTTTCTTTGCAGTTGTATCGTTTTTCTCTAACAAATTATGTTACTGGTCGACACTGCTGCTGAAGCTTAAATATACTTAGAATCTTGCTTATATTTCTAGATAATATTGAATGAGACTTGAATACTAATATAGCTCCCATGACATTGGGAGTTGCATTTATTTTCCCTTGTATCAAACGTGATCATCTTCCATCCTCCAAGTGCTGTATCACCTATACCCGCTTATCTGCTGTAATTTTTTTCTTAAACATTCAGAGAGAATCTCTTCAGTGAGAAAGCATACTGCCCGACTAGGCAAGTCTTACTTGCAATTACCCATTGCTTGTCATATATCTAACCTATTTTGAAAGGTATTCTGCAGTTCCTCAGTGATGCTACTACACACTTTGTTCAGCTTATCTAGGTGGTACCTGCTGGATGAAACATGAAACACCACTTGGACCGAGAAATGATCTAAGATAAAAGACGATGAATAAGACATATGTACGACATCGGGTATCTTCGTGAGACGTCTCGCCCACCAGATGATAATATCAATATAATTAAATTAGATGGGGAAATGTGTTTGATATAAAAATATACATGCATCGTATCCATCATTTAAACGGTATTATATCTGATGAAAGAAGCCTGCATATATCGGTCTCGGTCAGATGACTGAAGCCGAAATATATTGGTCTTTTTTAAACAGTGGTTCAATTCGCGGTCTAAGAGTTTTCTCACCTTTCTTCGCTTGTTCTTCATGACACTTTACCCAAGCACTTTCCTATATATTTTCATATTGTGTTTATCCATGCACTTTGTTATATCCTTTTAATAACCTTATTCATCCAAGAAATGTCCTAATATCTTTTAATTATTCAAAGACTATCGAAGCGCTTTTTTTTTCGCAGGTGGGTCTCCGACCTTATGTAAGATATTTAGCAGATAGATTACACTCGTTATCTTTCCCTTTGAAAGGGGAGTCCCTGAGTCCTTTAATGTTTGTGATGGGAACTTTAGGCAAAGAATCTGAAATGTTTTAAGAACATAAGAACATAAGAACGAAGGAACACTGCAGAAGGCCTACTGGCCCATGCGAGGCAGGTCCAAGTCTCCTACCGGCTTAAGCCAATGCACCCAACCTAGTCAGGTCAGGTCACATTGACTTAAGGGAGGAACACGGCAACCGACCTGGTAGCACAAGCTATCAGGTCTAACTGATTACCCCCAACCCCCAGGTGCTGTTTGACCCAAGCGGGTTTAGTGCTTCTTCTCGAATGTAATTAATATTAATAATTAATAATAATTGTTACTACTACTCTACTTCTATAATAATAATAATAATAATAATAATAATAATAATAATAATAATAATAATAATAATAATAATAATAATTTTTAACTCTCTCAAGATTGACTTATGTAAGTATAATGAGAACAATATACACACTAAAACAATGTATAGACCAGGACAATGTGTATACTGGAACTATGAACACAATGAACATATATACATTGTAATACTGTACAAACTGGAGAAATTATATACATAAATAAAATATATGCTAATGATTTACCCACCTAGGTAAAGAATTCTTAAAAGTGAATAACTCATGTAAGTAATGAGCTCGTGTATACATATGTACAAGATTATATTTAAAGTGAAGAACCCATGTAAATGAAGGTATAATGTATGTGTAGGATTCTCATGTGAAGGATCCGTGTAAAGAAAGGATTCATTTATGTTCTAGATCCCAGTGAGTGAAGGATCCATGCAACTAAAAGACTCTTGGATAGCAATTTTTTTTTTAAGCTTGGAACCCATAGGAGTAATTATTTTACTCACGGGGAAGCAATATACCCACGAGGGTCAAACAGTGCATGGAGACTGGTAGACAGTAACGTATGATCCTAAGGGAGGATAGCTTCACTTTCTCTGCTCTGACACTCAGACAGAGTCCCACACAAGTAAGCAACGAGGAACACGCTCAACTTGTTAACACAATATAATGAAAAATAATAAAAAAAAATCGACGGTCTCGTCACACCCTTTCCCATCACAGATGATGGCAGTGAGGCTTAGCACCCACCTGGCTGGCCTACCTGTGTGAGCCTACACGAGAGAGGTCAGGTCAGAGGGGTGTGGAAGATCATTATAGCCCCTAAGGAAGTAGCCAGTGACCATTATAAAACACTTGTCAAAGATGAGACGAGGATGGTAAAGGAAAACAGTAGCTTTAGAGCAGGAAACAGTTGTACGACGGTTTATACAATATAATTGAACCTCTTGCCAGGAAACGTCGTCATCGTTATCCTACATGACAACTGATCATAGCATGGAGGAACACTGCGCAGGCCTGCTGACCTATGCTAGGTAAGTGTCTCTAAAATCCAACCTCTTCTCAGCCGTCAACTTCAACATTCCTCACCCGGCCCTTCTCGTCACTATGTTCACTATGTGTGTGTGTATATGTATATGTATATATATATATATATATATATATATATATATATATATATATATATATATATATATATATATATATATATATATATAATATTATATATATATTCAACAAACCGGCCGTATCCCACCAAGGCAGGGTGGCCCAAAAAGAAAAACGAAAGCTTCTCTTTTTAAATTTAGTAATTTATACAGGAGAAGGGGTTACTAGCCCCTTGCTCCCGGCATTTTAGTTGCCTCTTACAACACGCATGGCTTACGGAGGAAGAATTCTGTTCCACTTCCCCATGGAGATAAGAGGAAATAAACAAGAACAAGAACTAGAAAGAAAATAGAAGAAAACCCAGAGGGGTGTGTATATATATGCTTGTATATGTATGTGTAGTGTGACCTAAGTGTAAATAGAAGTAGCAAGACGTATCTGAAATCTTGCATGTTTATGAGACAGAAAAAAGACACCAACAATCCTACCATCATGTAAAACAATTACAGGTTTCCGTTTTACACTCACTTGGCAGGACGGTAGTACCTCCCTGGGCGGTTGCTGTCTACCATCCCTACTACCTATAATATATATAATATATATATAATATATATATATATATATATATATATATATATATATATATATATACATGTATGTATATATACATATATATATATGTGTGTGTGTGTGTGTGTGTGTGTGTGTGTGTGTGTGTGTGTGTGTGTGTGTGTGTGTGTGTGTGTGTGTGTGTGTGTGTGTGTGTGTGTGTGTACTCACCTAATTGTACTCACCTAATTGTGGTTGCAGGGGTCGAGACTCAGCTCCTGGCCCCGCCTCTTCACTGATCGCTACTGGGTCCTCTCCCTCTCTGCTTCCTGAGCTTTGTCATACCTCTTCTTAAAACTATGTATGGTTCCTGCCTCCACTACTTCACTTGCTAGGCTATTCCACTTCCTGACGACTCTATGACTGGAGAAATACTTCCTAACGTCCCTGTGACTCGTCTGAGTCTTCAGCTTCTAGTTGTGACCCCTTGTTTCTGTGTCCCCTCTCTGGAACATCTTGTCTCTGTCCACCTTGTCTATTCCCTGCAGTATCTTGTATGTCGTTATCATGTCTCCCCTGACCCTTCTGTCCTCCAGTGTCTTCAGTCCGATTTCCCTCAA